ACTCGAACACCAGGACCTCCTGGTGAGAGGCATTGCGGTGATATCAGCTGATGCCCTCAGCCACCTCTCTAGACTGTTTTGACAGCTACTGCTTGGGCACTGCTGACAAAAGGATTGCAGATTATGTCCTCGCACTCATTTTCTCAGTTCGTTTTCAGGTACCTCGTTTGTTAATTGATTCATCATTATTTCTTGCAGTGGTATCGCCCTGCATTATATCCATTTGTTTCACGAACTGCCAAAGTGATCTCTTCGAGTGCCTCCTCTACAGTCCGTCTCCTTATTCTAGGATTTGGGTAGGCGGGAGGTACACATTACCTCGGTGTCGGCTGGTTCTGATTTGACCATCGGTTGTGCAATGCTCATACGCTGCTCATTGCGGTGGCGGCATGTTACGAACCTAACGGTTTCAGTGAATATCATTTCGATGAATGAGACATAGTAATCTAATATGGTTAATGAATATTTTTGTAGCCTTGGGTAGAGCAAAACTGACCATCGCCTCCATGAATAAAATGTCGGCTTAATGCAAACTTAATACTTTCAATAAACAACAACTCGATCTCTGTCAGGTGAAGATGAATGACACTGGATTATAGTTCATATAAAAATAAGTACGAACTGCTTTTAAAATAAAGCCCCGAGATAAAAACTTAACTGACAGCATAATCGAAAAAGATCTTTCGGAATAGACCAGTTTAAAAATTCCCCTCACTGTGGTGTAATGGGAGCCAGACAGAACCTGCATTTGTGGGAGAGGCCCTCCTGTACCTACACCCATTTGCTTGTAGCATCTCCTAATTGCCCGTGCGCGAGAAGGCGTTCGTTCGAACGACAGGGAAATGCGGTGGGAATAAACTGATCGGGGCAGTTGTTGACGGACGCAACCAAGCTAACGAAGATGCGACGACAGTGATTGACGGGTAACTTTTACTGCGCTTGCCTTTGCTTTCGAAAGTTGCCAAAGGCAATCATGAAAATGTTTTAAGAAGGGAGGATGGTTCGCATCGTTTTAGTGAGTCCTGACAAAATAGAGGCTTGATTCGAACGTTAGTTTTTTTTGGTGAACATCAATGTCGTCAATAAAAATGTTTAATGGTATACTAATAGATTACGATCCTCACAAACATCGAATAACATAAGGAATGCGTATAAAAATATTTCATATTATGAACTTCAATGACAGTCGTAACAGAAGTCAGACTCAGAACTGTATTCCAAGTCTTTACAATTCATCATGTTTCAGAAGATTACTACTAGTAAATTAATATTCATTTGGCTACCTCAGCCTACAGGTATAGTGATCATCCTTCTTCAGTTTATTTATCTGAGTTCGCCAATCTTGAACTACTGATACTCACTGTTGTTATCCAAAACACAATATTATTGTACTTTTTTCTCACCTCTGTCAACCATGTAACTTTGCAAAACAAGACAAATGATTTTCAAAAGTGCCTGACAAGCACTATATAATTGATTTATCATTAACTACACAATTCTTAAAGAAGATATTCGTTTCGGTGTCACTGGAGTTGGAACACTTAGTACATAATCTGTTTCTAGCATGAGAGAGCTGAGAGCGCACCAAGTTAAAAAAGGCGTGAAGTAGCTTCTTCCAGGTTGTGTTTACACTCAGCTGAGCGTTTTCCAATACAAGAAGAACGGTACTTTAATGTGTTAGGGAAATATTTGCCTGGCCCGAGAACAACATGCGTCGTGTATCGCGGCTTGATAGAAATCGGTAATTCACAATTGTTTAAAATGAAACTGTTTAATGAGAACTTATTAGACCTGGTTTGCGATTCACATGCCGTTACTCGAATAAATTCGTGTTAAAATAATGTCACTGAACGGCTATTATTAACTGATCGAACACCAACCTTGACCACTTTTAAAAATTTCTTCTCCTCCAGGATACA